ATAATTCGACATCAGTTTTAGTTAGTATGTGCTAAATTCTAATTTATACAATAGTTTAATTGATTATTTTTTAGCGGTGAATAATTTATCACTTATATATATATAATGAATATTACCTGTCAACCATTTATAAACAATGTAGCAGGTCTGATAGAAGTATGTATTGGTCGAAATCGTTCTACACTTTATAATCAGATTTATTTATTTATTATTTATTTATTTGAGCACATAAATATTGGTACAAGAGAGCGCCAGTATATATGCGCCACACAAAACAATGAAAATTCGAAGAGAGAAAAGAAAAAAAAAACTAAGGAGCACAAAAGAAAAAGAGAACGATAACAAAGAGATTGGTGAAAGGTAGTGCGGTCGTAACGATGGAACGGAAAGGTACAATCGGAAGAAATCTTTCAAGTAAGGGAGACACAACCACTTTTTATGAAGAAAGTAAAAGAAGGTTACAGCAGGATCGCCACTGGCTTCTATTCTGAGCCATATCTGATAACGTCTCTAGCCACTGTGTAGCACCATCTCTCAGACCCCAACCAGGGAGTCGTGAAGGACCGACAGAAGCCAGTCCTTTGCAGCTTTCTTTCATACCACGACACCATGTCATGCACTGACCACCTCTCCGCTTTTTCCAACCAGTCCCAGAGTCGGCAAATAATGCACGACGTGGAATTCTCTGGGACGACATTCGTAGAACATGTCCAAGCCACCGAAGTCGGTGTTTCAAGATGGTGACACCAATTGAATTATCATCTCTGTGCCCAAACACACGATGCCGAACCTCTGCATTACTAACATGGTGTTGCCACTGAATGTCAGCAATCCTTCGGAGACAGCGATGATCGAACACAGAGAGTCGTCTAACGTCCTCAACTCGGAGAGGCCAGGTTTCACAAGCATAGAGCAAAACTGCTCTCACCGACGCGTTGTAGATCCGACCTTTTACAGCCAGACTTACATCACGAAGGCGCCAAAGGTGGCCCAGATTGGCATAAGCCGATCTGGCTTTCACTATACGTGCATTGATCTCATCACTCACACCCCCACCAGCACTTATGCAGCTACCCAGATACACGAACTTCTCGACTACTTCTATCTGCTCACCATCCAGGGTGAGTACAGGATTGGAATCCTGCCAGTCTTGTAGAAGTACTTTGCACTTCGAAGGTGCAAAACACATACCATACCTACGGACACTGATTGCCAACTGATTAAGTGCGGATTGCATGCCTTGGGCATTATCGCACAGTAAGACAATATCGTCCGCATACTCAAGGTCGAGAAGTCTTTCTCCAGGCAACAGATCCACACCACCATTACCTACATTCATCAGAGCTGTTTCCAGAATGTCATCGATGGCAAAGTTGAAGAGGAATGGTGAGATTGGGCAACCCTGCCTAACCCCACTACTCGTATAGAACAATGGAGAGAGGTGGTTGTATGCCCTCACTCTGCCTGAGGTGTTTTTATATAGGGCTTTTAGGATGTTTATAAACTTCTCAGGCACACCCTTCTTCAATAGACAATCCCAGAGAACAGTCCTGTCCAACGAATCGAAGGCAGCCCTGATGTCAAGAAACACTACGATTGTTGGCCTTTGATAAGTATGGCGATGTTCTAACATTTGGCGGAGGGTGAAGATATGATCAATACAACCTCGACCAGAACGAAACCCAGCCTGCTCCTCGCGAGTCAATCTTTCTCGGGTTTTGAACAACCTACGAAGTATGACGGAAGCCAATAGCTTGGACGCGATCGGAAGTAGACTTATCCCCCGATAGTTGTTGCACGAACGACGTGAACCCTTTTTAAAGATAGGGACAACTATCGACTCATTCCATGACGTTGGTACACTCTCTAATTCCCAAACCTTTGTAAACAACGTCGTCAATTCCTTAGTCAAAAAGTCACCACCATCTTTAAAAAGAGCCGGAGGTAAGTCATCTGGGCCAGGTGATTTGTAACGCTTCAAGAGTTGGAGTTCCTTGCGGACTTCCTCCTCGTTCGGTGGATCAGTCGTCACCGGCCATGGAGGGCAGGACAGTCTGACCGATGTTGCCGGAGCAGCAGGCCAGTTGAACTGCCCTTCGAAAAATTCTGCCCATCGTCCAAGACGTCGATGGATGTTAGTGATTGGCATCCCATCATCCTCGCAGATTGTTTCACTCACACCAGACTTCTTGCTGCCAGTGGCTCGGATGAGCTGGAAGAGCTTCCGGTAGTTACCAGATGCAGCTGCTGCTTCCATCTCATTAGCACGCTCCGACCACCAGGCTTCTCGGTCCTTACGCAAGCTTTGCCCAATTTCCCTACGTAACATCCTTCGTTTATGGTCAAACTCACGGTCACCCGGAGTCGACCGACGGGCTTCAATAAGTTGTAAGGAACCAGAAGAAACCCAGTGCTTATAAGCGGGACGTTTCGCAAACCCACAACTGACTGTTCCCGCCATTTTCATGGCGTCATGCAATTGCAACCAATGCTCATCTATACTTTTCGGTGGAGTGGTAGCTAGCCTAGAAGCTAGCTCGGTTCGATACTTATTTGCAACAGAGGTTGCAACCAGCTTGCTAATATCAATCCTTTGGTGGTGGTCACTTCGTTGTCCACTGAAAAGTAAGGCAAGATTGGCGCAGACCAAGGCATGGTCAGAGTCCAGATAGGTACTCCAAAAGGAGCGGCAGTCTTTTACACAACCACGCCAGCGGAAGCTGATCGCGATGTGATCAATCTGAGTCCAGGCTTGGGATGCAGAGGGAGGACGCCAGGTGGCACATCGGCGATGACTGTGCCGAAAGTTAGTGCTAGCCAGAAACAGGTTGTGGTCTGTGCAAAGTTGCAGTAGACGGTCCCCGTTATCTGACCTGCGACCAACGAGTCCCCATCGGCCACCTAAACGACTCTCTTCTGTGCCTAGACGCCCGACCTGCGCATTCAAGTCTCCGGCTAGTACTACAATATCTGTCGAACGCACTTTCTGGAGAAGAACAGACAGCTGGTGGTAAAACTCATCCTTGATTGCATCCGGGCTGCAATCTGTCGGGGCATAGGCGGAGATGACGAAAAGACATCGTTTCTCACGCCGATTTCTTCTCACTTTGATGGAACTTTCTAATCTAACAGCACATAACCGACTGTTAATGGGGATCCAATCGACTAGTGCTGCCTCAGCTCTAGCGCTTAGTGCGACACCAACGCCAGCAAGACCAGACGAAGATGCCACAGGGTCCCCGGATAAGCGCACGTGAAACAAGCTTTTCGAAGCGACAGATGGAGATCGAATTTGTAGTACTTCGCCAGAGTCTTGAATACGGGTCTCGGATAGACAACAAACATCAATATTGAGACTTTCCAAAGACATAGCCAGCCCTATCTGTTGTCCGACCTGCATTAGTGTGCGAACGTTGAAGGCAGCCAGTTTGAATGGTGCACGTGGTTTCAGAAAAACTGCTTCAGTTCTCGTATTCGGTGGTAACATACAATTTTCAACCGAACAGTGACTCGAGAACGTTTAGATACAGTCGAATTTCCACCAAAGACGAGCCGCTGTATAAGTATAAAAGAGGGTGAATAATGTGGAAAATAATAATAATAATAATAATAATAATAATAATAATAATAATAATAATAATAACAATAATGACAATAATGGTAATAATAATAATGGTATTAATAATGACAATAACAGTAATAATTATTTGAATCAATTGAATGTTGATCGGAGAGAGGAAATTAGTTGCCGTAGTCATAGAGTTCATTGTTTGTGTGTGGGCTGTGATACTGCCCGGGTGCCCAAACCGAAGCAGGTGGTTATCTTAGGGGGCCACACCCCGAGCCTTTGACCTAATGGTCTAACCCACAAGGCAGTGGAACATCGTGAGGAGATGCAATCCCATGGTAGCCGGTGACCAACGATTGGTTCATACGCCATTTGTTCCCGCAGGATACTGGAGCCCATGTGCACCATTGGTTTGTGATCCGGTTAAAGCGCCGGACGTTCGCTTTTCGTCCTCTCATTTTCGTAAACAACACCCCCGCCACGAGAAGGCAATGAGTAGGACTTCCCTGGCAGAGGCTGTATACGCGCGGCCGTGTGAGAGTATTTCGAGAGGGAGAGCGGACTCTCCCCACTCTCGGCCGTACCAGGGCGTTCGGGGGCCTTTACCAGGGCGTTCGGGGGCATTTATAATCAGAACAACAAATGAGTGGAAACACTGGATTTTGTGAAAAGAAAAGAGTCAACTTGCATAAGAGGCAAGAGCCCAGATAGTCATTAATTTGTTCAATGGGTATAATGTTTATATCTTATTATTACGTATTAATAAAATAATCAAAAGGTACCGAATTCGAGTATAAGTTGAGTATCAAAATTGGAATGGATGAACGAATCTTGATTAGAAGAAAATGCAAGTTCTAGATTTCATTGCTAATCACTCTGTCAACTTTCATTAATATAAGTAAAGTTTCAAATATATTAAATTAAGATAATACAGTACTAATGTTAACGAATTTTAAAATTCCAAATTTTCTACAGTTTTTATATGTATTTATTTGTACAATTAATGTAACTCATTGTATACTTTTTTTATATTAAATGCATATTTTATTACTTTAACTCATATGCTGCTACATTAGCTTACTAGGAATATATATATAATTCAAACAAAATTATATTACTAATGATATTAATACATACGTGTATATTAAGAAAAAAGAATTTCACTAATAATATTAGAGAACATTTACATGTTTAATATGATACTATTGTTATTCCAATAGTATGTCTAATTATTTGTTATGTGTTAATATCAAGTAATTACTTGAATATTATTATTCATACTACTAATCAATATGGTAACTAATATATATATATATATATATATAGTATTTATAATATTTGGTTAATCACTTTACATTTACGAGAAGTGATCGTTTATAAATTATATTTCTTTTTTTTTGTTTTTGTTTTCGGGGGTTGGTGGTGATGGTAGGTCCACGTAATGCTTCTACGAATAAATCACTTTTTTCTTGTGCTATTGGTACATCATTTATTTGTCTAAGTGAACAAACCTATGAATTAAAAGATAAATCATCAAATTCAACAAATGTACGACTTACATTTAGTGAGTTTCAAGTTGAAGCATTCAGAAATAATGATGTTTCTAATAATACATTTACTGGACCAAGTAAGTTTATTAAATTATTTAGAGAAATTTTTTTAAAATTTCATTTACTTTATTTGTTGCTTTAATTTATTTTAATATATAATTACTACTTTTGTGTACTTAATTATGCCTATTACACCTCGTGGATGAACATAGGTGGCCCACCAGCATTCTCCATTTAACTTTGTCCTGGACCATCCTTTCTAGTTTTTTCCAGTTGCTATTCATCCTTTTGATGTCTGTTTGCAATTTACGACGCAGTGTGTTCTTCGGCCTCCCACTTTTCAACTTCCCTTCAAGATTCCAAGTTAGCTCTTGCCTCGTCATGCTGTTTAATGATTTCCTCAATGTATGTCATGTCCACTTCAAGCGTCTTTTCCTAGTTTCGTTGTCAGTTGGAAGCTGGTTTGTTCTGTCCTACAGTAGGTTGTTGCTGATGGTATCTTGCGTAGACAATTGTTTATAAATACTTGCACTTTTTCGATGATAGTTGTAGTATTTCTTCAAGTTCATGATGAATTTAAAATCAAGTGGTAAGATATATCAAGAAAATTGGGATACACATTTTATATTGCAAAAATTTCATAAATCTCATAATACCTTGGTTACACAAGCCATTTATTTCTTCTAGTTTAAAAACTTTAGTCAATGTAATTTGGTTTTACTATACAAATCGTCATCTTCTACGTAATTACCATGACTAGTAACTGTAGACGTTGGATTATATGGTTCTAGATAGTTCACAATAATACAGATACATTCACTCTTTGTTTCCCCTGAGATCAAGAGTTTTAGATTATACTGTACCTGTTATTCCACGAGTTCAGTCTTTCTTTTCGAATTCAGTCAGTCAGTCAGCTACAACGTAGGACCAGGCACATATATGCATCGGTCCAAGTCCAATGGACAGCCTTACCGGACACCACTTGACGTTGCAAAATCAGATGACAGTTCGCCATAAGCTCTGACTCAACTGGTAGTTTTCGAGTAAAGAGCCTTCACAATGTCTACGTACTTCTGAGGTACATCTTTCAATGACAGACACTGCGACAGGATCTCGCGGTCTACGGAGTCAAATGTTGCTTTTAAGTCAAGAAAGACCACCATTGTCGGACGCCGACATGTATGCCTGTGTTCTAGACCCTGAAGAATGGTGAATATGTGGTCGATGCAGCCACGACCAGGTCTGCAGCCAGTCTGATTCTCTTGTGTTTGCAGTTCACGAGTCCTTGTTAGGCGTCCGATAATTATCGAGGCTAATATTTTAGAAGCTATATTAGCTAAAGTAATCTGTCTATGGTTGTTACAGGATGATTTTAACCCTCTCTTATATATTGGGACGATAAGTGATTGTGACCAGTCAGCTGAGATAACGTCTAACTCCCAGATCTTAGCTAAAATATTAGTCAACCTAATCACTAAAATTGGACCACCATCCTTAAAGACCTCTGGAGCCAATCCATCTGGACCAACTGCCCTTCCTCGTTTCAGATTAACTATAGCCTTTTGAACTTCAGCTGGAGTTGGGCGACCTACTTCTATGTTCCATTCACACTGTCTGGGAATTGAGGGTAGTTGTAGAGTAACTGAAGGCCAGCTGAACTGTTCTCTAAAGTGTTCCGCCCATCGTTCTAAACGTCTGGACTGGGAGCAGATGAGAGTGTCGTCTTTTTCTGAGACAGTCTGACTTACACTTGACTTACTAATTCCAGTTTCTTTTATTAGTCTGTAGAGCTGTCTTGTGTTCCCTATAGCCACCGCCTTTTCCATCTCTTTTGCTTACGTTGCCCACCACTGCTCACGGTCGTTCCTTAGACTTTTGGTTAACCTAGATCTGGTTTGTCGCTCTTCATCGTGCTCAGAGCCTGATGGGATGAGTTTAAGAGAATAGACCTTGAAGAAATCCATTGGTTCTTCGTAACCCTGTGGTTTAAATCACTGATAGATGTCACTGTTGTTTCCACAGCTGTTTGTATAGCTTTCCAAGCAACACCTAAGTGTTACCCCAGTTGTTCCTGGAACCTGCTTTTGGTTTTCTCGTTACTCAATTCAGTTCTAATGGGTCTTTTTAGTGTGGCTTTTCGAATTATTATCCTCTATACCTGATCTCTTTTTATTATCAGTAATACTTAAACTACTTGGCCCGATGCACGTAATATATATATATATATATATATATATATATATATATATATATATATATATATATATATATATATATATATATATATATATATATATATATCAGGTTCTATGTTATTTATGACTGACTGATTGCTTACCTGTCATTGTTATACATATCACGGTAAATATTGTCACTAGTGTACGGTAATGTTCAAGACATTCCAATCTACTCACTCGGGTTTGTGATCTCAATCCTGATTTACCTTTTTCGTCTTAAATCCCTTGTTTATTGTCAGCGTGTAGTAATGGGAAGGCTACAAGTGGACAAACTAAGGCATTTTATCAGTCCATGAATAGGCTGATTGTTGAACTGAGCCGTTGTAGTTAGGGATAGACTACTCGGTTGGGGCTCACGTGATTAGTGGCGTTGAGTGGTGTGGCTTAAAATCGTTCGCAGTGACGTGGATGCATCGGCTCCGTACTTTCCTTCATATTCTAAGTTTCCGAATTCGTCGAATTTTTTCTATCATTTCGCTGATTTACACATTTTTTCTCGAATCATATCTTCGATGCATAATCTTTTTTATTGTCATCAATGGTATTATTATCTCTATTACTCTGGGATTCGCCCTGAAAATTTCATCTTGGGATGTGGCAAATTGGACCGATGTATACATGTTCCAGGTTCTACGTCGTATTTGACTGGCTGACTGAAATTAATCTGTGTTCTGCATGATCTCTGTTTGATGAACTCACCTCTTAATTGGTGTTAAAATTCAAATATCAATCTAACTTGTCGCTACACTGTATTCAAATCCAGTTAGTCATAAGTTCCGATCCCTAGAAGTACGGTCTCAGTTATATGTTCACAGATTGATCCAATTAGCCGTCAATTAAATAAACTGTTGTAAGTGGACATATAACTCATTATATCCTCATGGAACACCATTATCAATTTTATATTTACTCTGTAAGGTGGTGGTTGAAAGCAATTGACAGAAAATCATAAATATAGGTGTCTTGCTGTTCTGGACTTGTCAGCAAGGTGTACCTGTAATTGTAAGAGAAGTGGTACTCCTTGACTTATTTGATCTCGTATCACCCACTTTCACGGTCCTATTTACTTCCTTCAACCACCACTTTACATCACAGCATAGTGCATTCGATGTCGAGTCACGTAGACAAGTGGGAGGATTGCAACTCATTCACTAGAATTGGATTAGCATTGGAGAAGGACCTGGTATACATGAAAGTGGTCAATGATTAATCAGTTGTAAATATGTACTTTTTATATCAAGAAATTACTTATCAGATTGCTTATATTTTGATGCCGCATTGTTGTAAGAAATAAGCAATGGCGCGTGATCGATTGTAAACTTTATTGATCACACAAGAAGTCGTCAACCAACGCTTAATGTGACACTCATAGATGTATTTAAACACAACCACATGTCAGTCATTTAACGGTCTTGTGACTGATCTTTGTTTATTCATTTTTAGCTGTTTTTTTTCTTCAACCTAATTCTCTACGTTAGTTCATATCACATGTCGAGGTACATGACACTGTTTCTTGTAGTGCGACTTTACAACCTCATCGACTAGTTCACCCTATTTCTCTAAAACGTTACTAATCTAATCTTTATTCATTTAGTGACTATGGTGTTGTCATAATATATAGTTGTCTTCCACCTTTCAACATTTATGCTCGTTATGCATAAAGTAACACAAGAACAAACTTATTATTTTGTGTAGTATAAGGAAAGAAGGTTACATTAAGTTTAATTATATAGACAATATTGAAGATCTATTTTTTTCTCATCAATTATAGCCAATTATAATATTGGTGTTATAAGAGAAGAGTTTATCATACCTAACAAAATAAATTTAAGAGAAATAGATGCTAGTTTTACAGGATTAGTAATCATTTACAGGTTGGCTACTGGCAACTTCATTATAGAATTTTATCCATATGACTTAAAAGTCTTTTCTTTTTAGGGCATTTATGTGATCATAAGTAGTTTTTTCGACAACCGCATCCATTTCAGAAACGTTTACTTTATCACTGAGCAATGATGATGACTGTACAACAGTTTCAAAGCACGTTTCTCTGTTTTAGTGAACAAAATATTATGCTGGAGGTGATTCTGTCATTGCATCATCTAGCATTTCTTCGTATTCTTTCACTACTACTTCACGTCCACAATCGTAGATGAACGTTTTTATTCTTACAATCGAATCTATTAATAATTGTATATATTTCCCTCACGGTCAACATTTATTTTATCGGAATGTGCCCTGACCTTAATGTCGCTGTCTTAACCTGAATTATTTCGTTCATGGAATTAAAATCTAACTGAAAATTGCCTTTATGTTTATTGTAAAACGTTTACTTAAACTAACAACCCCTTATGTAAGATATTTACGTCAACTGCATCAATAATTATTAATTTTTGACATTTTACCTCTAGCTTCCTCTTGTGCTGCCGATTATGTACCGACTAAAGTGATTCCTATTGTTGTCGGCGTTTTATTGGTGGTTATGATAGCGGCTGCTTTAATCGCTTTTATTATCAGTAGTCGACGCCGTCAAATTGGCTATGAAGAAATATAATTTATGAAAATAAAATCGGCCTAATATACAGGTCTTATAGTTGATGAATCAAGCACTCAGATCTGATAATCTTAGCATGATTTAGCTATTGTTATGCTATTTTTCCATTTACATTGCTTTCGAACCTATTTCTCTATTTCATCAATAATTACTGCTTTTATATATATTTATGTATATCATTAAACCCTAAAATTTTATATTTCATTTTTGTCGCTCATTTCATTTTTTATACGCATTTCGGTCCTATGTCTTGAAGGTGTTTTTTAGATTCAGGCTGTTTTTCTTCACTTGATGATTTACAATATAATGCCATTGTTCGTTCAGTAAATTGTATTTTGTAATGTAAGTAGAGGATAATGTTAGTATGCGTAGAGTGTGGTATCATATTGTATGAATCCAATTACAATTTAAATATGATTATAGATACCTGCCTCATTTTTTTAATACACATTGTATGAGAATTGATTCACTGTTCTGTAAACTGAGTCTTTCATCGTTATTTAGCAGTTTACTGTTTACAGTTTTAGGCTCCATCTTTGTTTCTACTGTTAATTGTAGAGCTCTTAACTGAGCAATAATTATAAACGGATGCAATAGGTATTGGCGTTTCTTATAATCACGAATGCAGTGTTTTTGTATTTCTCATGCGTAAGCTCCACTCCCCGACGATATCTCGCTTTTTCATTATGCGAATTGGTAGCTCATTGATTAGAAACATTAGTATATTATGGTTTTGGTTGGTTAATAAATGCGATGGATCTAGGGTTTAGACTAGTTTGTACTTGCCAACAAGAAGTATGTACCAATTCGAGGGGACTGGTGTCTCTATGGTTCGAGCTCTCATCACCCAGCATTAGCCACGGGAGTTACTAGACAAACATCACCTGAATCACTACTTGGCCACTGTTGGTGCCTCACTCCTGTTAGGAGATATTTGTAGCTCTATATACTCAGTATTAAGGGTTTTGACTGGGTGATATGTGCTCGAACCTCTTGTGACCGAAGACAAGTTTCGAGACGTCAGCTACCTGGAAACTTACGCTGACAATTTACTGATTAATAACAACCAAAACTGGACTAATTGTTCAGGACTACTATCGCTTGGTCCAGCTATTCTTTTAATCCTTTGCTAAAAGTGCCAGCTGCAGTGGAAGTGAGTATTGAGGGGGCTGTAATTTGTGTAACTATCGGAAGGAGAATTAGTGGTTATCATTGTATAAGTATTAGATATTTGACTTATTATACTCATATTCTCCAGATTGTAATCTTACTGTTGGGGCATAGGTCGTTTTATTTTTTATCTTACTTGAGTTATTCCTAACTAATCATTGACCTTTAACTTGTGGGATAGTTCTGCAAACAGTTCCGTATTTATGTCCATGTATTCGGGAAATTGCTTTATATTTTCATGTGAGTTGATTCATTAGACTAGATTGTTACACAATATGAGAGGCATCTGCTTAATAACTCCGTCTCTTAATTGGACACGGTTGTAAGGAACTTCAGGGTCAGTTGTTGTTAAGGTATGGTTTGTTGTTACTTGGTCAGTGGTCCTACGCGCAATATATTTGCAAATATGTGGAATGATTATCTGACATTGTCTTACGCAACCCTATCAAGAATTGATAGAGCCAAAAGTTTTCTACTTTTCCAAAGTACAACACCAACTCCAATGATATGGAAGACATCCTAGTGCTACTTGCTCGTTTACAATTGTCATTCTCCCATATTTTACGTCCCTCATTAGTAACACCCGCAGGATAATGGTTTTATTTTACTCTAACTATTTGGGCTCTCCCAGTATCACTCCTATCGTTATGAACCTCGTCTTATCACTGAACAATGGGGCTTCGATGTCTAAATTCTGGGATGAATCTTGAAGAAAACACTTTATTTGCGCGAAACGTGAACTTTATATTTACGGGGTAAGAATTCGTCACCTATTTTTACTTATTTATTCAACCCTGTTTCGGTTTGTACACCTGGGTAGTATTCCAGTGCTCACGCAAGTTGAACAATGAATTGTGGTTCATATGTATTTGATACCTCGCACAAATCTTTATGTAGTTAAATAAATAAATATATATTTACTCAGCAAAGAATCTTATAGATGATGCAAAACACCCTGAGAATAAGTTATCACTGCTAGTTGTGAAAGGCGACTAAGGAGTGAGAGGACCGTCACAAGTGTTGTGATAACCTACAATTGTTTTGATTAATTGGAGGCTGAAAAAGGAATAATCTGAAAATAATATTGCAGAAGTCAAGTCACTAAAACACTATCTCGGAAATTGCAGTCTTTAGCTATCTTGCAGTTGACCGTGGATAAATTACTCTGACGGATCACTAATTTTAGCTCTTAAATTCATACGAGAAACGAGGAGTTCGTAGCAAGACAGAAACCTGACAGTGCTGAAAGTTTCCGACTACTCTTTGGGAATTTTCATCCTAATGGTTATATTAGTGACTAGGCGCACTTTACAACATTTTTTATAATGATGGTTTTCTCAGGCAGTTGATTTCGGATTGTGATGGATGTAGAACGGCAGTACGAAACAGTCTTTTCATCCTGCCTCGATATTCCTCAGCAGCGGGGAATAAAAACATTATTGTGTTCTAAAATCACATGGGCTATCTCGAGACAACTAAGTTGTTTCAGGAGATCTTCTTTTCAGAACTCAGTCGCAGAACGTTTATGATGATATAGGATTTGATATCACTTGTACCAAAGTTTATTTTATTGAAAAGTTCCCAGAACAGTTAGAAAATAGGTCAAAGATTGTTTAGTGAGAGGATAGATATGGAGTATCGTGAAAAGAACCGTAGTGAATTCCCTTATTAAACATATTTTTTCACGCTCTTCCCGGAACAGTATAGTTCCTTGAGATAAAAACCAAACTGACATGCTGCTGAATGTACCAATATCAAGATTTACGGTAATTAGAAAAGTTCATTTTTTTTAATATTCTTCTAAATTTCGAACGTAATCATTTTTGTTGCTCGTAAGTTTAAATTTTTAACAACAGTCACTAGACAGTGACTTGGGTTTGCCCTGCTTTCTTTTTAAAGTTTTTGTGGAGAATATAGTGGTATTTAGGTGTTCAGATTGTTTTTGAGATATGTTTCTATGCTTGTTTTCGTTCAGTGTCACGAGTGTGTAGTGACCTACTGTTATCAACAGAACGCGATTGCTGTAATGGAAACAATTATTATTATAACCAGTTGTATCAAGGATTGTTTTACTGTACTTGTTTGTTTAACTATACGAAGAAAATGCATTCTTCCGTTGATTGTGAACCTGCACGAATTCGGTTACGCTCAGTAACCACACTTATAACTTGGCACGATCTCGTCATTCTTTCGATACCATGAGATCGCTAACAAATATATCTCGACTACAGCCACCAACTGCCTTGTGATATTTGGCCTACGGGGTATGTTATCGGTTAACTGGCAAGTAGTCTTCCTGTAGTGGTGATCATAGTCAAACGTAACTGAACGCCACACTACAGGTGCCACTCTTAGCCTAACGTCACTATTCTTGGTCTCGATAATGCGACTGAGTAAGTTATTTCCTTATCTGTGTGTGATGGCATTGGACTTATGGACTATCTTTGAAATAGGCACTTTGTTTGTGAATACATGTTGAGATTTTTCTTGCGTTGGTGAGGGTCATTTCTCTTCGAAGTACTGACTGTTTTGTCTGCCTTAGTCTTTTTGATTTTTGGAGGGGAAAAAAGTGATGGGACTACATACCGGATGAACTTGCAGTTTTATCTACCATGGTGGGATATCTGTATCAATGAATATTTTCAAGAGTCTCTGGGCACCTGATCTCAGTTGAAGTGTTATACAGCGTCAACTATTCATTTTAAAATGTACTCACAAAATAATATTATATTACACCATCTGGGACGTTTATTGAGAGCGCATTGATAATGGGCACACACTGATTATCACAACACTCGGTTAGTGATGACAAAGCTCATATGAAAAGTAATATTCAAGTCTACAGACTCGGTCATGAAAATCCAACGTCGTACTGGGCGTCTATGCTGCATATGCTTGTGTATTTTATGTGGGACTCGTAAAACCACATGTGGAATGGGCCCTCTGTTATAAAATATCCGTTCAAAAGGGCGCGATAAAAATGGCGACTTCTAAATAAGGGAGACTACCAAAGAAGCGGCCATTAAAAGGAAAGATATTATTACGCGTAGGCACTTAATTAAGGAATAGCAATTTGAGTGGCATAAAACATGCTTTCTTCCCCCTCTGTCACTCCGCCTTACGATCTGTCAAAAGAAATGGTTTTCGAAATGTTTAATGAAGAATGTGCTTCCAAAACATGCTGTAATCCTTCGAATTGATAACAAATTATTTTACTTATTACATTATTCGTGTGATCGCTTATGTCGGTTTCGAACTTTTAATGGGATAGTCTGTTTAGCGGAGTGTTTCGAAAGTGTTTGAGAAGTGCGTGATGAATTTCATATTGAATAAGTTCGAAATTCTAGGAGCACGCTTTTGTTTCAAAACTAAAATATCATCTCAACATTCTTCATTACGAGTATTCTCGAAAACATTGTCATTTGTGCTTCATATCACTAGCCTGTGTTTGGTAAGCTGAGTCTGAAGGTAAAGAAGCACTGGACAACTGAGAAAACAGCATTACAAAGGTTCAATACAGTCTTCTTCCGACATACTATCACACTCAAACAATTCAAGATTGCTTTCAGCAGCAGGTCTCGAGTCTTACAGGATTCACTCAAAGAAGAAACTACTATTTAGGGCAATTGGAAAGGGATGAAAGTAGCCTTAACCTTTTATTTTCTTAACTTTCATAACTGGCCTTACTCAGCAAGTACTGTCTCATTTGTTACGTCTCGCTGATGATGTGAAACTTTGGAGAGACGTTTGCAACGAGGACGAATAACATAAGGAAGACCTGACTCGACTTCAAAGTTAGGTGAATAACAAAGGACTTAAACGTGACACTACAAAGCACAAAGTAGTCCATTTGAGATATGTAGCAGACTACGCACAAAACTCAGGTAATTACTTTCTGGAAGTATCTCAAGTTGAACAAGACTTGAGAGTGTTGGTAACCTATGATCTGAAGTCTTACATTAACTACGACAAAAATGTCTTTTCAGCAAACCTTGAGCTAGTCATATCGAAGAGCACTTTTGGCCAGTGTGACGGCAGCGTGAAAACACAGTGTTTCTTCCGTCACTCCAAAAGTATGAGGATGAATTGGAACGTATTCATAGGTGGGTCATGAAATCGGCTCGGGAACTCAAATTCGAGCTTTATATAGAAGGCTTCAAATGTCCAGGCCTTTATCCATTGCATTGTAATAATCTTGGAGGTGACCTTGGGATGACTTGTCGTATCCTAAGAGCTCCCAGTCATTTTCTTAAATACCCACTTAATGTCAGTTCCAACACAAACCACAGTGGTAAGATCCGAAAGCTGGAGACACAACATAGCAGAACAGACTGTAAGCACACCTTCTGCCCCGTGAAAGTAGTCGAATGCTGAAGTTTTCTTTTGGCTTAGGTAGTTCAAGTGCCATCTCAGGCGTCCTTCAGTAGGAAACTCGACATATTCCTTAGGTTTCATTACAATAATTCATTATGACTTACTGAATTTGTTCAGCAAAAAATATGCCTAGGTTTCTATTTAAAGGTGATCCACTGCCACTAGACACGGAAGCCTGTTAAGCGAAAGCTTCATTCCGTCCACAAATATTTAAACCATCTGAACTATTTGAGTTTGAAGTTTGGTCACCCTCAACGCATATTATGAAGTTTTCAAGGTCGTTCGATGGCTTTACCTGAAATTGTATATATTGATGCTTCGGAAAGTGGTTGTGATTTGAGAACATTGCTTAATAACTGTACGTTACAAATTAAAATCTAATTTGAAAAATTCAAGTGCTTAAAATATGTGATTCGAAGTATGAGCTCAAAATCGATTGCAAATACTACTCAGCTGATATAATAATTCGATCTGTAGACAAATTATGTGCTCTTAGCAAGTCACCAGATTTTTTCAATATTCATGGGGTTATCATTTGTTTTTCTGGGGATAAGGTAAGGGTACAGTTACTCGTACTGTCTTATTTTAATGATTAACAATAACACATTCCAAGCAGACTGTAAAGATAAAGACGAAGTGTTTAAAAATACAGAAGAGTTTCTTCCAGTTAGGTCATTGTAGATATAGGCCACAATGCATCGAATTTTTTTGCCTCTGTCCGAGGTAAATAGTATGAAATTAATACTTACCGTTTTCAAATTGTCTACTTTTCTCCACAATTAACATATCAGGTAGTTAAGTTTCCGTGTAAATTGATGAACTTATTTCCTATAGTTTGTTTATCCAGGAAATTCGTCTTTAATTCTTTAGGGTTAACCTTAAAGATTACCACATTTTCTGCACACTTAACATTCTTCAGAAGAGTGATTTCTATGAAGCACGCGTAGTTGCCAATTATATTTACACTCGAGTGACAGTAAAACGTCGTTATTCTAACTGACAAAGTGATCTTCAACCATAATCTAAAAAGGGTAGTTAGTACAAGGCTTGTGTTTTTCTTTTAAGGAAACCTCTTGTTTAAACGAAATACTAATGGATACTAACGCCTACCTGCTACATCTAATTAGGTGGTGACACTAAACTTTTTCATTAACATTGTACTATAAGAATTTAGATGTTAAGAGACAAATATAGTATTACCTATTATATTGTTATAGAATCGAAACTATAGAATACTACATTTTGTGGTCATCCCCATCAATGTGAAGTTTATTGCCGAATCGGGTTTTATTAATTGGGATAAAATTGGTCTAATTGAGGCTTTCAAATGATTATCCATCGGCCTAGTTATCATCGCCATCTACATAGTAAACAAGCAGTAAACTTAGTTTAGAACAACACATATAAGCGAACAATTGTTTTCAATTAGATCGTCATCAGGCTTTACTCTAATATACATGAATATTTATACGAAAATGTAAACCAATCAAGGCATTGTGAGTCAATAATCACAATGAAATAGAATAAGTCTCTACACATAATAGGTAAAAGTACAAGTTGATAGTAGGAAGACAGGTAAACTGATAATAGTAATAATAATAAAATACAATAACAAAAGTCTTATCAATAGTTAAACGTTGGAAATAGAAGGTCAAACATGGGTAAATAGACTAGGAATAGTAATCACAAAACATTAAAATCACTACGTAATAAGAAGTATATAAATAATTAGATAGTGTAGAATACAAAGAGGCGGAAAATTACAAACAAATACTAGGTGTGGAAATAAGGTGAATGATAACAAAATAGAATAAAATAAATAATGATAATAATAAAAATTTAAAAAATATTCGTTAGTTAAGTTATAACTGGCCATGGAAGGGATAGAGGGGTCAGTTTACTTGCAAATTTACCTTTTTGCTGAAGATATGCATCTGAGACTTCCAACTCTTCAATCCATAAAGGTAACTGTAAGATAGCTAACCCCCAGCCAAGGTCTTTTGACTGGTGTTCTTCATAGTAATATCATCTGTCGCATTACATTGATACCGGATATCATTGTTTGCGACTTGCTATATAACTGAAGTTCGAGTGCCCTCATATTTCCTTTTGATTATGTTGAACTCTGAAATGTTTCAGAGTATCTATACATTAGTCTGGGAATAGATGCATTAATTTTGAAACAGATGATATAGTAATACTGAACTGTACTCTTAAAAGCATTGGTCTTGGACATATCTATTTATTTAAACACATAAACATTGGTACAAGGAGGAACCAAATAGATTTGCGCCACATAAATCACTCGATTTGTGTGAGGTCCGGAATACTGCCCGGGTACCCAAATCGAAGCAGGAAAATTAGAGGAAACTATAAGGTCACTCGAATTTTGGGGAAATGTAGACAATTCAGTATTAATATTGGAGAAAAGTAGACGATTTGGGAAAAGTGGAAGTGTTACCTTCAAGATATTTCCACTCAATGGGAAAATTAGATAAAAATTCCTATTGTTTACCTCGTACAGAGGCGAAAAAGAATTTGATGCATTGTCACCCATATTCACACTGTCATGAAAGCATTTCTTCAGTACTTTTTTTAAAATTTCAACTCTATTTCCGCTCTTTTGTTTTCTTGGTTAGTAAGAGAAGAGTATTGTGGTTGGGAATATTAAAGGCTGCTGGATTGGAAGGACACAAAGAACGATGAGTTCGCACTGTTAAAACCACGAATCTCTCTAAATTGAAAGCGATTACTAAATGTATGTAGTAGTGTTATGTACCTTATAAACTTGTAGAGATGCATCGCCAGTTCTTATTCTGTAAGCGCTTTTTTCTGAAAAGCCCATATAGTCCTTACTATTTTCTACTTACCAGTAGCAGATAATAGTGTTTAATGGAAGGATTATCAGCTCACTTTTTAAAATTATGATTCCGGTTCCACTATGCAGTGTACTTTAACCTTGGATATTTAGAACAATTCCAAAATTAGGATAATAAACAATATTTATTTGAGTTCACGATTCTTTAGCGTAACGCCACTTTACTACCTTGATAACATGCTAAATATTTCCAGAGTCCTTAGTCCTATGTAGAAATACTCATTTCGCTTTACATTATTACTTTGTAAAACAAAAGGCTCTTGACTTGAGTTTATCGCTTGTACATTTAGTACTCTTATTTTGCAGAAATATAAAAGTACAACTTAATGTGGTTCCATCATTTTAGCTCATTACCAAAGACTAGTTAAAAAAGGGAGGGAATTGAAACTATACACCGATCCGCGTTGTTTCGGGCAATAATGAAAATTGACAAAAAATATGGTGCATCATTTCATTACTTCCATTTACCAAATTTATAGGATAGCGAATGGATGAAGTATCACTTAAGAAAAGTAAAATCAAAATAATATTGTTTCATTAGATAATGTTTAATGAATAGTTTGAGAAATTATTTCATCAATGATAAAAGCCAGTTAATAATTGCAGACGAATCAACCCCATCCATTTGCTTCGTCCTAAGTTGGGGCTTATCAAATATGCCTTCCCATGCTAGGGCAAACATTGGGTTGTTGATCTTTCTGTAAATACGTTAGTGTACATTTGACGTTTTGCGATTCGCTGCTTCACGTGTTTTTTATCTACATAGTCATTATCACATTTGTTATGCAGTTGTGTGATTAAACCTGTTAATCACGACTAGCGTCTTGTCTCTTCTGATTTTTCGTGAATTCGTTCTCTCTATGTCGATATATTTCCTGTTTCTTCATATCCATTTTCTCCTTAAGGTGTCTAGTTGGAATGATGCTCTTAAACTGATGGGCTTGGCTATTAGTAATGACGTATCTATACGGATGCTAGTGTGTAATGCTGTTAATCCGTCTATTTTGTTTCCTTCTGAGCCAGATGCTTTTTCGGTTATGACACGCATTATTCTGGATCATGAGTTTGAGCTAGTTGAAATTTCGCCAAATGAAGATACTATTGAAGAAGGTACTGGGTATTTTTGCTTATTGACCTTTTGAAGTCTTTTTAATGTGTCGATTATTTCCTCTGAGGATCGTCTATTCTTATTATATTTATTTTCAGTTTTAGTAATCGGATTGTTAAGGTTAGTGGTATGTTTTGTTCTTTTCAGTGGGTCTTTCTAGAAATATGATTTCGCCGTAAACCAACTCACCAAAGCCGACGTAAACAAAATATGACCCAATATAAATGTTTATCGCTTCGCCTTATTACACTTCTCATCAGAACAGAAAATACAAAGCGACACGATAAAAATGGAAAGGTTTAGAGATAATATCAGTAATAACAGTGTAAAGCTGAAGGACAGAAAGAAAAAGATCGAAAAATGAATGAGATTATGAATAACACGAAGTTTGAGTTTGAGTTGAAGATAAGAAATGAACGCATTTGCACCATTGGGGCAGATTTAAATCACCTAACATCCCTAATTATTGGTTATGGTAAAGCCTGGACCTCCCTGTACAACTAGAACCAACAGTCAATAACTTCAATGGATAGTGTGTGTTTATGTGACTGCTCTTAAATGTTTCAGCATACTCGTACTCAAACCAGTGTTATAAGTCAGTATAGTCTGGGATAAAATAAATAAAGTATCGGACTCACTCACTTCGATCAGCAAAGGTACACGAATTAAACAACTAACATGCCCTTATTTCCTAGAATTAGAATCTAGATGAACACTGATTATTTTTGGTTCCATTAAACGCGATTGGTGCCACGAAAATATTTGTTGTCTAGTAACTGTATTAGTATACTAATCTCAATCAGCAGTTTCATTTCACAGCCATGGTGTAGAAAAGAGCTCACTTCTTTACATTGTACTCACCTCTTGATAATTGGCTGGTTGGACTAGTACTATTGGTGGTATAAGTTGGCGGGCGCCAAGCTAGATTTATTTAGTTGTCGCGATATTTTGTTAGTAAGTAGTTAGTCAGGCCTGATACTATTTATTAACCGAGTTAACTAATATTCGCACAATCACATCACTGTTCGTCTCTAAACTAACTGCCATCACATGTCAGTCCTGCAATACCATCTTTTTTCGATTTTTACTCATGGTACTCTGAAAAAGTTTATTTTGTCAATGTCTCTGCCTAACGAATTTATATTATCTGTGTATTGGTAATTACTTAGCAGATCTCAGAATAAAAGGTCAACTCCAATAAAATTGAAGTTAAATAAAGTCGCCATCATCAGTATGTAAATAATGTAGTTGAACAGGAATGATAAAAGTCGATATCATTGATCATACAGTTGGTTTTTTTAGCAAGGTTCTTCTCTATGGGATGGTGTTGCTAAACCCGTGCCCAACCCTTGTTTATCCGGACCTAGGACCGGGAGTAACCTTAGAATGGGTTCAAACGGATTTGAAAAATAGTAGCATACCTTATATTTCGTTTTAGGAAATTAGTTGATTACTAACTGACTATTGTAATTTCAACAGCCCCTGACCTGTTAAATATCATTGTTAAATGATAGAATTTGTCTAGATAATTTTGTATGTTCAAGCATGATTGTTATTAAGATTTGGCTTTGTATGTTTGATGCAATAGATGTCATTGCCATAGTCGCAGAAAACCTTACTAAGCATTCGGTAAATTGTTCTGACTATTTTCATTTTTAATAACTCATACTTTTGCAAGTAATCCACCGTTTAGCAAAATATCTGTTTTTGAAACTAGTACAGTTGTATATTACAATAAATGATTTTTGGGGACTTTCGTTTTCAGGCGAAGAATTTGGAGCAAAACGAATAATATCTATATTGGAAACACATATTTGGCCAAATATGAAGCCTAAAGGTATATAAGTACTATTGTTATTATCAGGAATTTTTTTTGCATGATGATAGTAAAGAAAATAATTTGGTCATGGATTTCTTCTGACTTATTCACCTGACTACTTATACTTATATACCCGCTCTCTTGATGGTAAATCAGTTGATGAGGTTGTGAATCTTCATCGACTGAGGTGGCTGGGCCACGTGTTGCGTATGCCTGAACACCGATTGCCACGACGTGCAATGCTAACCGGTGATGGAGATGGTTGGAAGAAAGTTAGGGGTGGCCAAACCAAAACGTAGAATCAGTCCATAAAGTCATTAACTTCTGATCTGAGCCATGTTGGTAGATGCAGATTATTGGTTGGTGTCCGCGTGACTATCGTAACCAATGGTTGGAGACTCTTGGTGACATGGCTCAGAATCGATCACAATGGCGTTGGTGTATACACTCTTTGTCTTCCCTTAAACTATGAGATTAAAATCGCTTCATATCTTTCTTTCTACGAACTAATTCTTTCTTCCTGTACTATATCCTTATATGAAGTCTTTCTTTCATATATTACAACCATTGACTTAACTGCTCCTATGAATCGGGTGTCCATCTTGTTGTGTTAATGAGGTATGGCAACTTGGACCGATGCATATATATGCCTGGTCCTACGTTGTAGCTGACTGTCTGACTCACTTTCCTGACTCTTAAAGATGTATGTATCCAGTTTTTCCATCGTTTACTGTTAATTGGTAAGATAGTGAGATAAACTTGGAATTAATTTATTAGTTGAAACGATCATTTAGTCACATTGTAAAACCTGTTACTTATGTACATCAGTTCAAGTTATCATATCCTATTATCACAAAAGACTTCGATGCATCAATTTTATTTTGTACAAATTAAAGTTCTACTGTATACTTACGACTCAAGTTTCATTAAAGTAACTAATCAATAATGTCAGTTACAAAATCAAATTCTTATTATTATAGAAGGAATCATTGTATTTATCAAATATTTACTTGATATTTTTACTAATTTGTAAAATGAATTCATATCACACAAAATATTACTATTCGTGATGTCGTTTTTTTATTGACTGCCCCCAAATTCCCTGGTACGGCCGAGAGTGGGGAGAGTCCGCTCTCCCTCTCGAAATGCTCTCACGTGGCCACGCGTATATAGCCTCTGCTAGGGAAGTCCTACTCACTGCCTTCTCATAGCTGGGGTGTTGTTTACGAAATTGAGAGGACGAAAAGTGAATGTCCGACGTTTTAACCGGATTCCAAATCAATGGTGCACATGGGCTCCTGCGGGAACAAATGGCGTATGAACCAATTGTTGGTCACCGGCTTCCATGGGACTGCATTTCCTCACGATGCTCCACTGCCTTGTGGGTCAGACCCTCAGGTCGAAGGCTCCGGGTGTGGCCCCCTAAGAAAACCACCTGCTTTGGTTTGGGCATCCGGGCAGTATCACAGCCCACACACACAAATATGGTGTGGCGCATATATATTTGGTGCCCTCTTGTACCAATATTTATGTGTTGAAATATATATATATATATATATATATATATATATATATATATATATATATATATATATATGAAGTCTTTTAAAAGAATATTTACGAATTTTCTCTCTTTTTTTCTTCTCTTTTCTATCGAATTAAAAGATCAAAATAATCGAAACCATTCAAAATCAATTACTAATAATCAATCTTTAAATAATGAAAATCATTTAAATTTAGTAAATAATTTATCGAATAATATAAATAAGATTCATTTAAATAATAATAATAATAATGAATATATCAATTCATCATTAAATAATGAAAATGAATTTGAAGAATTATTTAAACATTTACCAATAATACGTAATGAGATAGCTTCATTAAATTCTACCGATAGATATAATATGGCTGAAAAAGTAAGTTATAAATTGTTATCATTTTATTGATTTGTAAAACATTCAAGTTTTCTTTGAGATAAATTTTATTATTATTTAATTAATTTATAAGAGAAAGTCAATAAATATATACTAGTAAAATATGTAATGAAGGCTTGGTGGTATTTATTATTTATTTACTATTTCTTGGAGTATATAAATATTGATACAAATGGGGCATCGAATATATATGTGGCACACAAGTCACTAGATTTGTGTGTGGGTTTTGATACTGCTCGGGTGCCTAAACTGAAGCAGGTGGTTTTCTCAGGGGATCACATCCGGAACCTTCGACCTTAAGGTCTAGTCCACAAGGCAGTGAAGCAACGTGAGGAGATGCAGTCCAATGGTAGCCGGTGACCAGTGATATGTTCGTAAGCCATTTATTCCTTCAGGATCCTGGAGCCCATGTGCACCATTGGTTTGAAATCAAGGTGTTCCAAATTTCTTAGGTGAACTCTCCGTATCCACCAACCCGGTTAGAGCGCCGGACATTCGCTTTTCGTCCTCTCGATTTCGTAATTAACAGTAATGCCGCGAGAAGGCAGTGAGTAGGACTTCCTTGGCAGACGCTGTAAGAGAGTATTTTGCGAGGGAGAGCTGACTCTCCCCACTCTCGGCCGTACCAGGACATTTAGGGGCTTAGTGGATGGATAAGGCACTCGATTTTTAACTACTAGGTCTCAGTCTCGAACCTAACTTCAGCTGTTTCGGTTCACTCAGACGAGTTGTATAACTTGGTCTCGTACATGAAGTGTAGCTCAAAGTCGAGCGTACTATTCTGTAGTTCATGAATTACTTACGCCTGTTACTCCTCGTGAACGAGCATAGCCCGCTCACTAGCATTTTCCATCCAACCCTGTCCTGGGCAATCATTTCCAGCTCTTTCCAGTTGTTATTCATCCCTTTCATATCTGCTTTGATTTCTCGACGTAATGTGTTCTTTGGGTTTCCTCTTTGCCGCTTTCCTTCAGAAATCTAAGTTAGGGCTTGTCTCGTGATACAGTTTGGTGATTTCCGTAATCTATGTCCTATCCATTTCCATCGTTCTTTCCTAATTTCCTTTTCAGCTGGAAGCTGGTTTGTTCCTTCCTACAGTAGGTTGTTGCTGAGGGTATCCGGTCAATCGATGTTGAGTATCTTACGTAGACAGCTATTTATAAATACTTGTACCTTCTTGATGATGGTTGTAGTAGTCCTCCAAGTTTCAGCTCTGTATAGTAGAACTGTTTTAACTTTCGTATTGAAGATTATGACTTTGATATTGGTTGACAGACAGTTGTTTTGAGTTCCATATGTTCTTCAATTAGTTACATCACATTAAAAGGTAGTCAAATGAGATGAATCAGTTTTTAAAAAAATCTCATTGTCATACTTTTCTAGATAACCTATCTACCTTTCTATAGCTCCCTATTTCTCTCTCTTTATTCTTCATTTTCTCTTGCTACTGTTGAATTTATATTTTCTATAGTATCCTCAAGGTTTTTGCATATATATTTACACTTGTTTATTAAATTTCAGTAAACAAGAATTTAACGCTTGTGGAAAATTTAAAAGTAGTTGAAAAAATGTGTGAATCACATATATCATTGATGTTATTACAATCTATCAAGGTGTTTATAATATTGTCGTTGATAGATTCACATTGTAGTCATTTGGTAATCCTATGAAATTATAACAAGTTTTATCATACTCCTAAGTAGTTTACTTTTTCAAGCGGAGATAGTAGACTGGATAAGTCAACGCACCTGTGCTTACCTATCATTTCAACGTTAGAGAATAGGTGAGAAATTACAAATAAGGCATGCTAAAGTATGTAGTTGTTTATACTTCTAGTCAAGATCTCAGCCTATATGTCCTTAATTGAGTTAGAAGGACAAATGTATCAACGATTTGACAGTTATACCTTTCTGCTTATTTAAACTTTCGATTTATAGTAGTAAGTGTATATCGAATCGAAGAACATAACATCAAAGCATATGAGAATCATGTCCATTTATATAGTATATTAATCTTTACAATCATATATATATTATAGGTTTTCTTTACTTATAAATAATATGCAGATATTATCTTCACTTAGTTATTTGATCATTTTCAGAATGGGTTTCAGGGAGATTTTTTTTTAGAAATTCCACAGGTTGAAATCATGAGCCAATTGAAGCTAGAACACCATGAAAAACCTGGAAGCATTGGACGGCCGTTTCGTCCTAGTATGGGACTCCTCAGCAGTACGCATCCACGATCCCGCACCCCGCGATATTCGAACCCAGGACCTACTGGTTTCGCGCGCGAGCACTTAACCACTAGACCACTGAGCCGGCATCCAACGGTGTTAATGCCTAACTTCAACCAATCCACGAAGTTGCGCCACCGTACACCATTGTGTTCAGTGAGCTGATATCTCACAACAGACCTGGTTGAACTTCACTGGTAACGGCTTCTCACTAGAACTCCAGAAGTATCTCGTGAAGTCAGTCACTAGTGAGCAGATGATTATTATCAGAATGGGTTTTGTGGCGATTATTTTTTAGAAATTTCACAGGATCGTGGATGCACACTGCTGAGGAGTCTCATACTAGGACGAAACGACCCTCCAGTGCTTCCAGGTTTTCCGTGGTGGTCTAGCTTCAATTGACTCATGATTTCAACTTGTGCTATTCAATTATTTGTTGTAATTTTTTTCTTATCAATCAATTTATTTTATAGATAACATGTAAAATTTGGAGAGCTATTGGTGGTTCCGAGGAAGAGATTGCTGGTTTACAACATTCAGATTCTGACTAATTTTTTTGATTTTCTTCTATGGAAGAAAAATAATTGAGAACAATGCAGTCGATACTTTTCTCATGTTCTGTTTTCTTAAAACAACATTTTCAGTCATATTTGTGAAAGTAATCAAATATTGATTAGAATTATGTAGTATAACTGTTTTTTTCCCCGATCATTTCTTTTTGTTTATTTTTCTTCTACTTACCAATACTTTATCATTTCACTTTGCAATGGCGCAGGTGCATACACTTTTTATGTTCTCTCAAATTCTAATCTGCTGATTCCTCCTTGTCTCTCTTTTTCTCTTCCCGAATTTATTTCACTGGATTATACTCTTTAAATAACATCTCCAAACCCTAATCTTTCCGATTATTGCTTATACTCTTACTACCTCTACTACTATGGGATTTAAATCGACAAATGCATCTCTGTGCTAATGTGGTATGGCAACTCGAACTAATGTACGTACGTACGAAGTTCTACGTTGTTACTGACTGGCTGACTGACTTTGAACTTTTAATAATGTTATTTTTCACAATATGAATTTATTCGTTCTTCTTTTTTTTTCGGGGTATTTCTCACTTTTCCATTTCATTTTTTTGTATATTCAGCTGGAATTAAGTCGAATAATTGCATATATATATTCCTTGATAGTACAATGTTGAGTTTCTTTTTTCTTCTAATAAATTGTAAATTTATATTTTTCAGTTGAATACGCTGATGTTTTCCATTAAGGATTAATTTTCAAAAATAACTTATTATACAATGACAGTAACCAGCTTTTGTTTAAGAAGTTAAAATACAGTCAAATATTTAAATCTCATAAGTATTTGTTATGTCCGCGTTGTTCATTATTTATACAATGAAACCACTTCAATTCTCATGACGTAAAGTAAGAATATGGAAGACTGGTACAAGTAAAGATTTATTAACCTTGAACCCAATCGTTGCTTCTACCTTGACGTGGTGGTCGGGTTTGTCTATCGTAACAAACCAATCGGGTTATACGGGCTGGAACATCTGTTCCTCAAGGTCCTATTACATCAGGCATGTCGGTTGAAAAGCGCTAGGACTATAAGCAACAAACCCAACGTCTGAGGGCGAGGTTTTGCTTCTGACTGTACAGACGTGTGACGTCAGTAAGGCGTTTCTCTCGAAGGAAGAGGAGTTAGAAAAGGTCGGCTCTAAAAATGCACACCTCACCTTATCCCGCGGATATCCATCTTCGTCGGTAAGGTTTCAGCAAGTGCGGAACTAACATAAAAATGTGTGTAACCAGTCTCAAGCAGTTGTCTCTCGGGCACTGTGGTCACGCTTTCAGGTCAGTAAAACCAACTTTAACACCATTTACTTCCAGGCACCTCTATTAATCCTAAAACACGACGACCCTAGTCGACAATACACTCATATATTGACTATACACCCATTTTGATTATTAGTTAGAATGAAATCACATATATGAAAAAAGTTCAGAGTTATGATAAATGACATGCTACTTATCATGTTGAGCTTAGTTCACATTAATTTAATACAAAGTATATCGTATCCTGAATAAGCATTATACTCAAATAAATAAATGTTATAACGAATAAAATATAAAATTTAGAAAACAAAACAAATATTACTCTTACTAATCATCATATTACACTAAAAAAATGGAAGTAATATTACACAGAAATCACAATGAGCAAAATAATGTGGTTTTGTTCTTTTACTGTCATATCACTATCTAAATGAACTTTTTAGTGTATTTTGGCGTTTTTGAATTGATATAATGTATCCTTGTGTTTAAGTGGTAGTTAAGATATAGAATATGTTGTTTATTTGATTGTCAATGAATCATTTTACATGTGAATTTATTAAATATAATCATATTAACTGATTTCAAGTTGATGCTCGTATTAAACTTGTGATATGCCATAGACCTTTATTCTAAGAGAAAGTGTTTATTTGAATTTAGTTGCTGTATTCATCTTGGGAACTTAGTTCATCTGTCTCATATGAATCGGTAGAGAATAAAACTGTGATCTGACATAATGTCTGGTATTTTTCTCCAAGGTTTTCCAATGTTTTCTCATTGTAAAATGTTAAAACACTATGGTTGTCATTTCAACCAGGATTTTGAACTTAATAAGTTGACTTCTTCATTAGTTCTTTTTTAACAGTTTGTCTTTATCGTTCCCTATAGGAGATGTCTTTAACTGTTGGGAAGCCCAGAATATTTCTGGAAAAAAGCCTAGAGGGGCTCTGAAAACGCCGGGAAACATCTTGTTCAAACAGCATTAAATAAGAGTTCCTCAGAAACATCTAGAAAGTGAGGAGTCACGTTTGTGATTGGATGACTACATATCCTGCTTCTATGTTTAGTAGGGTCCCAGAAGCCCAAGGCCATTTGGGATGTTATAAGTACCCTCAATTTTCTGTACATAAACTAACATCGGAGTAAAGAGTTTTCTACACATTTCGCACCTTTTCTCTCATGGCCAAGTTGTGTAGATTTAGCCTGGGGTTACTAGAATAGCCTAGGAAACTGATCCAAGCGTTCAGTCAGAATATTTATCGTTTACTGTTGGCTTGTAGAGAAATATTTGATGAGGGGAGCTAATTAGTACATTTCTATTGTATTACATTTCCCATAAATTTAATTTGTATTGAAGCAACTTTAAAATCAATAGAAAAATCTATTTCATTGGTCATGTTACGGTGGTAAGTCATATACAGTTCATTGATCTCCTTACAATTACGTAGCACATGAATAGAAATGACTGTCTTTCAGCTCACAACTTTAAAGGGCTTATTAAATCTGATCGTATGGTTGCAATATAGCCATTAAATGAAAAACTCGATCAACAAATGGGTTTTACTTTATGTGCGCTCATGTTCTAAAATCCAGTCTTTTAGGTTTCGATGAAAAAAATGTGTTGATGGGACAATTTTGAAAATCTCAGCAATTAGCGTATTATGTTCGGTTAATTAATATAAAATGAATAGGATGCTTTCAAGGATAGTAACTTGATTGTCGAATAATGTAAAATCTCGAAATCAACTGATGAGATTTGTCTAGGAAACGGTACTTACTTAAACAAACTTGTTGCTTCTCTTGAAGCACAGGCCATCAACCAGGAATCTTCAGCCAACTCTGTCTTGTGCTCTTATTTCTGGTTGGGTTATGGTTCAAAGCCGCCAGTCAGAAGCAGCAGATTATCGATCAGACCAAGGATGCGTAAAACACGTGCGAGCAGCGTAGAGTCCTGATTGCTCCTGCTTTCTGCCTAGCCCAGCCAGTCAAGTCCAGAACACCATTCTCAGCCTCTGCAATATGAATCATTATATTTCAAACATACTGAGTTTATATACTAATCAAACAGACCACAAATGAGCATAAAATAGAAAATAACATTTGTACAACATTTGGTCAAATATGGTTGTGAATGTGGGAGGTAGTGATTAATAACAATTAACAAGGTTTATGCATTAAAAACGGGAGATATTCCGAATAAAAAATGTTTCGGTGAATAATACACATAATTGGGACTATGAAATAAAACAAAAAAGTGCTATTGCACGTGAGAAAATGGATCAAAGGGTCGGGTAAATATAGAAAGGCTTAAGATCGACGTTACAGTAGTGAAACATTATAAACTAATTCCGAAAATGTTTGAGCATAACACAAACTACTGAATACTGTAAAGTACTATGGTGTAATACTCAAAAGGAAAGAATATTAAGTAAATGATGTTCGTGGAAAACAGATATAACAGAATTTTAGATCATGTGTAGAATGTCGAACACTCATGTAGAAGTGGCATACTAAGTGTATGTAGTAAGGGTGAAGTGTTATTTGGCGGACATAAGGTAAAATTGTGAGCTGCTGAATCAGTTGTGGTTCGGCATTCGTGAATCACCTAGAAACTTAAAATACTGGAATGATGATAGAAGTGGAATAAAAATCTGAGTCCATTCAACTAACCTGGGGCTTTACCAACCAAATTATGATAAATAACTGCCAATCAAGTGTCAATTTTACTTTGGTTATTAAGTGTTGCACCTTACTATCATATGAACGAGACGTATAAATCTAACTACATTTTAGCCAATTATTCAGATCTTCTCGTCTAAAAATAAGTTTATTTGAACTATTTATGATGAACAATTAATTGGTTCTAGTTAAACTATCAAAAATTTCCTTGTTTGACACGGTTAAATGGGCGATTTTAATAAAAATCTAGGTTGCAGCGCAATTTTATTCAACTACCTCCAGAAAACTGGTCAGATATTCTACATATAATTATAATCCTTAAGTTTATCAATGTACAAAAAAAAAAACCCGTTTTCATAGTGTCATTAAAAACCGTTTCGAAAATTCCAACGATTCAAGTCTTATCTTTAAAAAGAAATTTGATCTAGTGTTTATCATACGGACTACGTTTTTGATATATAAGGATACATTTTCGACACTGTGACACCTATCGTACGGTGTTACAGATCATAAACTGTAGAGGAATAACTAAAATTACTGACGTAAATATATATTCTGGATGCCTCATTATGAGTGGTGAAAAGAATTGTAGTTGCAAAGTCACATGGAGTAACATATTCAATGAATCAGATTGAAATCACGATTTGATCCAAGTTATATAACCATTGAAAACACTTAAGCACTAGACAGATGTTTATTCTGGTTAGTGTTTTTGTAGAAAGGTTATTTTCTATGAGGTTACTGACCCTATGCCCCACTCTCATTCCTTAGCCGGGCTTGGGACCAGCAGCAGTTCAAAAGAGCTACAGGCTATAGGTAGATAGGACATACATTGCAGAAATCACCAAAATACATCACGAGGCAAACGTTAACATGGAATACTGAAGAAAAACGGAAAAGTAAGAGACCAAAGAACACACTCTGTCGAGGATTGGAAGCAGGTATCAAAAGAATGAATCGTAACTGGAAAGAACCTCCCAGGACAGATTTGGTTAGAGAAGGTTCCTTTACGAGTGTTGACAGGCGTAAGTAAGTT